ATTATTCGTTCATAAATTCCATGAGATTTTGTTTAGTTGTCTAATATTTTTTCTTCAGAATTGTGAGAGGACTACACACTCCATAAAAAAAAAAAAAAAAAGTCTCAATTTATCTAGAATCTTGCAGCTCTATTTTGTACACAAACAGCTCTTAGGGTGCTTTCACACCTGGCCTGTTGTTTCGGAACCTGGCGCGTTTCCCCAGTAGGGGTTCAATCTTCAACTGGCTGGCAGGACCCGCCAATGACAGGTCACGTGACCTGCCAGTGGTTGGTGGCAGCTGCCAGTGGCAAGTCACGTGACCTGTCAGTGGTTGGTGGCAGCTGCCAGTCTGATACTGGCAGCTGCCAGTGGCAGGTCACGTGACCTCTCAGTACAGTTATTTGACCACTTTAATCGGGATAAACCTCCCTAAAACGTATATCATATAAAATGATAGATTCATATGAATATAGCCTATACATAATAATACAATTTATTTTCTTGCAACGGGAGTGGTAGAGAACGCGTTCATCTTTAAGTTTAACAGTGACTGGCTGGATGAGCGGCCAGCGAAGCGTCAGTAACCCACCAGTCGGGATCACGGCAATTTGACGGCTTTAATCGGGATGAATCTTCCTTAAACGTCAATCATATAAAATAATAGATTCACACGAATGCATTAATAATAATAAAACAATGAATTAAATTGTAGTGAGAGTCATATGGAACGCGTTAAACTCGCAGCTCAATAGCAGCTGGCTAGACTGAAGAGTAGGCAACCCACCAGTCGGGATCACGATCATTTGACCACTTAAATCAGGATAAAACCCCCTAAACCGTATATGATCTTAAAGAATAGATTCATGAGAATATATTTATAATAATAATAGTAATGCATTTCCTTGCAGCTAGAGTGGTAGAGAACGCGTCAAAATTAGAGCTCAATTGCCACTGGCTGGACTGAGCGGCCAGAGAAGCGTCAGACCCACCAGTCGGGATTACGGCCATTTGTCTCCTTTATTCAGGATAAACCTCCCTTATACGCCTATGATATAAAAGAGTACATTCATAAGAATACATTAATAATAATAAAACAATTAATTTAATTGCAGTAAGAGTCCTTAAACTGGCAGCTGGCTGGACGGAAGCGGCAGTAACCCACCAGTCGGGATCACGGCTATTAGACTACTAATTAAACCTCCTTAAACCTATATTACATTAAAAATACATTCAAAAGAACATATTCACAATAATAAAATTATGCATTTCCTTGCAGCAGGAGTGGTGGGGAACGCATAGGCATACTCATAGCTTAAAAAGGCTGACTGGAGGAAACTGTTATAGGAGGACATGAACGCAAATAATATATTAATTGACTCAAAGTTGTTTACAAAAACAATGTAGAAATAACAAAAATAAAATCAGAATGATTTCCTTGGAATGAGAGGCAGCAGAGGCTGGCTGGTTGAGCGTCCAACGAAGCGTCAGTAAGCAACCAGCAGATACAGGGGTGTGTAGGTGAAGAGAGAATAAGATGTGGGAGTAGGAAGAAAGATGTTATAACAAGAATTAGGATTGGACATTCAGCTTTAAATTTCAATTTACACAAAATAGGGAAGCATGAAAATGGAAGATGTGATAAATGTGGGAATCCAGAAACAGTAAAGCACATTCTTCTAGAATGTGATGCGTATGAAAGAGAAAGAAATCAACTTAATCATAAATTAGGTTTGATGGGACATGATAAAGTATCACTCAAGATATTACTAGGGAATAGCCAAATGCAATCAAGAATTAAAGAAGAAGTGTTCAATTATCTAAAAAAGACAGGAAATATGGAAAGAATATAAATTATAATTGTGGTATATATATATAAAATATAATTTTTTTATTTATTTATTTTTATTTATTTATTTATTTATTTTTTAATATAATATATATTCTTCTCTCTACCAAATCTGTTCACTCCACACTCCAGATCAGTAGGTGGCGGTAAT